CGCCCCTCTCCTGCCTTCTGCTCCGAGGCCGTGGCCTCGATGGACTTATGGGAAATCTGGTCCTGACCCTGGCATGCTGAAAACAAATTGTTTCCCAAGTCTGACATTTTGCAAGTAATTTCTCATGTCAACATAACTTGAATTTTAGTAAATGGGCTCCAATGTATCAATATTGTAACACACTATCTTTACCATCTTGCCCCCAGACAAACTCTGCAAAACCTGTCCACGTGGTTGGCGTCCTTTTGGCTCCTCTTGTTATTTTATCTCAAGCAACATATTGGCATGGAATGAGGCTCGTGATGAGTGCTATAAAATTAACTCTGAACTTGTAATCTTCTCCAGCAAAAGTGAAATGGTAAGCCACATCCACACCATGGATCAGTAATACGTGATGGTTTAACACATACAAGCCTGTGATTATTGGATGGTGTTCAAAAATATGGACGGGGCTGCATACCCACACAGAAAGTATAAGATTAACAAGGTTATTGTTTGAAGTTCTAGATTTTGTAGGCAAGGTTCTGAAAGAGACAAGGCTTTGAATGTCCAGCTTTTAACCGAATGGAACGCTGACGGAGGGCTGAAATCCAGAACTGGATTGTTAAAATCTGGACATGGATGTTTCAAATCCTGGCCTTAATTTTAAACATCTGTGAGGGGATGAGGATGCATTATATGGTAGCTGGCCAGCACTTGTTAGCCAACCACGACATTAAACAAGTTAAAAACATAAAATAAAGCCTAATGAAGTCAACATGATCTCCATATTACTATAAAGGGGTTTTAAATGTCATTTGGCATCTCTAATTTTGGATAATCTTTATTTTAAAGGCATTGACAAGATTTGACTTCCACCTAGTAATGTTACAGGGATTCTGTAATGTTAGGAATACAAATCTGTATTCCTATCACTATAGCACTCTCTGGTTCCCCCTTCCAGCAGCTAAAGAGGTAAAAAAAACTCTTTAGTCACTTCCCCAATTCCAGCGGCGATGTCCCTTGGCACTGGGTCTGCACTCCTCCTCCTCCAATGTCATCTGACAGGGGGGATAATGCACATGCATGGTGGGTGCCGTGAGTGCATTAGGTCCTCCCCATAGGAAAGCATTGCTTCAATTCTTTGCTATGGGGATTTTACTGACGCTGGATGTCCTAATGCAGAGCATAGGTAAATGCGGCTGTGGGGGTATGAATAGATTTGCTATTTTCAATAAAGGTGGTTGTTCCCCTCTTCACTAAGTGTCATCTAGTGCTTGGGGAGGTGGGTTATGATCACTGAAGTGACATTTCTTCCAGCCTGAAGTGACTTTAGCGGAGATACTCAGCCGCTATGGAGCTCCGCTACATACACTATGGCGGTTTTTGTTGGTGATGCACTTGATGGAAATCTTTATACTGAATATAATGACAGATTCTACAATTTAATTACATTTGCTATCTGCATGTAAGTTTAACCATTACCTCTCAGTCAAACTATTAGGCACTTTTTTTGGTCCCGCAGGGTGCTCTTGCTTTTCTTAAGGTGTAGAAGTCAGATGACAATCTTGTGCAAGATGGGAACATATCCACTGGCTGAGAATGATGCTCTCAGCCAATTAATATGTTTCTATTTAGCACCCAGATAAGTGTCAAACTGTGGTAAAATGGTTTGACAATTTACAGTGGGACACCACCTGGGCATTTCTGGAACAACTACATAACAACTACAGCGGACTACAGTAATTATGGAACTTGGAGTGTTCTCGTAAGGACCAATGATAGTCAAAATGGTCATAACAATATTTACAATTACTCATATACACCAACATATTCCACAGCTCTGTACAATGGGAAACAAGACAAACATTTAATTCTAACAAAACATGCATGACATACAGAATTAGTAGGTGCTTACAATCTGGAGATTAAAATACCTTATTCAAAAATGGAATAATCCACACTGCTATGCCCCGATAAAGTCTTTTGGAACCAGAATGTGATGTAGAGGTTGCACTTAGGGGTGCAACAAGTAAGGAGTATCCTTCATTGTGAAAGAACATGAAAAGGAATTTTGTGCATGGATAAAAAACAAAAAGTCAGCGATATGAGGATGTCTAATGCTATATATATATATATATATATATATATATATATATATAATTTTTTTTTACAGGATACTTTAAATAAAGTGTTTTCTGGCAGCACAAGGTACTGGATTGGACTTCGAAGGGATACAATAAACATTAATGTCTGGAAGTGGCTGGATGGGACTGAACCTACATTCACGTGAGTGTGTCCATGGATATGACCACTTAAATGTTTGAATATGGCAATTAAAGGAAGCTGTAAATTGTTTATTATTTCAAATAAAAGATAACATGTATTTTATGATTTATGTTCATTATACACTATATGACCCTCTAGACTGTAAGCTCATTTAAGCAGGGTCCTCTTCAACCTACTCATCCTGTAAGTTTTTATAATTGTCTCATTCATTGTTAAATCTCCCCCTCTGATAATATTGTAAATCGCTACGGAATATGTTGGCGCTTTATAAATACCAACAGTAATAATAACAATAATATGGCCAAAGGTATGTGAACATCCTTATTAATATTGAGATTCAGGTGTTTCAACAACACTCAGTAAGAACAGGTGCATAAAAACCAACACTCAGCCATGAAACCTCTATAGATAAACACTGGCAGTTCAATGACTCTTACTGCAGAGCTCAGTGACTTTAAATATGGCACTACCATAAGGTACCACCTTTGCCACAAGTCAGTTTATGCTATATCTGTTTGGGAGTCCGGGACAACTGTAAGTGCTGTTACTGTGTAGTTGTAATCTTTAGGAGCAACAATAGTCCAGTCATGAAGTAGTAGACCACTGATACTCACAGACTACTAGATGTTTTTAAGTTTGTGGCAAAAATGTGAAAAGGCTTCAGCAGAACAGGTTTTTGCTCTACACTGGTCCTCCCACCCCACCGCCTGTTTCATATTCCCTCGTATCTCATTTGCACTCTTTTTCCTTCTCCTTCCTGATTCTGAAAATGCCAAATTCCACATCCAACTACCACTCTATCTCGCTACTACGATTTTCCTCCAAGATCCTTGAGAGAGTTGTGTATGCAAGATTGACATACTTCCTCAAATCCATCTCTGCTTGATCCGCTTCAGTCTGGATTCTGTGCTCGTCACTCTGTTGAAATGGCTCTGACCAGACTATCCAATGATTTAATCACTGCAAAATCTCATTGTCACTATTCTATCCTAATTTTCCTTGACCTTTCTTCTGCTTTTGATACTGTTGATTATCAATAGCTTCTTATTATCCTCTGTAACCTAGGTCTAGATACTGATCTTTCCTGGTACTCCTCCTACCTCTCCCAGTGCTATTTCAGTGTTTCTTTCTCTGTTTCTGCCTCTTTTCCCAAACCCCTCTCTGTTGGTGTTTCCCAAGGTTTTGTCCTTGGACCCCTACTGTTCTGGTTCTATACTGCCTCCCTTCGTAAACTCATCAGCTACTTTAGCTTCCAATATAATTTCTATGCAAATAACATGCAAATCTATCTCTCCTCTCTCGCCGTCCCTCTTGACTCGTGCCTCTCGTCTATTTATAACTGGATGTCTGCTCATTTTATTAATCTTAAACTGCTTAAAACAGAATGTCTGGTTTTTCCTCCCTCAAGTGTTGCTACTCGCGTGTCTGTTTTCCTCCAAATCAACGGCACTTTCATCAGCTGTACCTCCAACCTCTCCTTCAACCCTCATGTCCAGTCAAATGTGAATTTTTGCTCTTTCATCTCAAAAACATAGCATTGGCCCTTAATTAACCCTGGATGAGTCTAAGGTGCTGATTCATGCCACTATCCTCTATCGCCTTGTCTACTGCAATCCGCTTCTCAGTCTTACTTTTTTCCAACTTGCCCCATTTCAGTCTATAATGAATGTGGTGGCGAGGCTCCTCTTCCTGTCAGTCAACATCTCCCATCCCTTAGGCCCTACATTGGATTCCAATAAGATATAGGGCTCAATTTAAAATTCTGGTTCTTGCTTACAAATCCCTACATAACGCTGCTCCTACATACCTATCATCCCTAAAACACAAGTATGTCCAGACTCTCACCCAGTCTCCATTCTTTTAAAAAAAATCATTGCAAACTAACTTCTTCAGAAAAGCAATTAAACTGTTATTAGGTTTCCCTCCCCGCACTTTGATTCCTCTCTTGCAACTGTCAGAAAAAAATAAATACAAAACACTAAGCTATCTATGAATACTATTCTAGCAACCTACTTTTCTACCTTTCCCTTACCTTTTGTCTTACTATACCCCACTCCCTGTAAGACCCTATCGCTTCTTACCATAAGCCCAATATTTAGGTGCTTACTGCTCAGTGCTTAGGGCAGTGGAACCATGCAGAGTACACGTCATCATAGTTGGGCAAGACAGAGAGCCTATTAATCAGTCATGCCAAGCTGACCCTTTGCCAATTTTGAGGTATAATCTGTGCCCCCCCACACCTTGTCTTGACTTCAGAGCTACCATTTTTGAGAGGTGTGAAGCAGGAATGCATAGGATGACACAATGTAATCCTGTGCATTTCAGAAACAATGCACGCGACAACATTGAGTCGTCCCTTATACTGAAGAGGTTGTGCTTTTTTAAAGTTTTAGATGCCCGATAAGTGTTGTAGCTGTATTTATGGTGCATTTTGGAGTGCATAAATAAAGGTTATTAAAAACCTGGCATTGAATATTTGCTAAATACCTTTTACCCTGTTAAGTTTACTTGTGATGTATTTTCCTTGCAGATATTGGGGGGTAAATGAGCCCAATTATGCTGGAAACAAAGAACATTGTGGAGAAACCATGTCAGGCCCGTGGAATGACCGTGACTGTAAAGACAAATTGAACTTCATTTGCAAGAAAGTGTGGATCTGCTGAGCTAATATATTTAATGTAGTGGAAATGTATATATTAAATATTTCTTTAACCATATATATTGTATGTATAGTTTTTTTCTCTTGAACATAGAAGGAAAATATGTATTTTTTTTTAAACACGATCAATGTCACAGTGATGCAGATATTGATATAGGGAATGGAAATATCAATTTTTTTAAATTAGGAGGCATGTCATTGTACTGCATGTAAAGATATTTGTCAAAGATCTTGGGCAAAATACTAATTCAAGATCTTGCTGTCCTTTTATTCAGCTATTCTTTAGACCCATCAATTATTGGTTTTGTAGTGCCGCATTGATCAGTGCTTTCCTGTCCTCTTTTTCATTTTGTATTGTAATCTCTCCTTTTTGAGTTTACTCTTACCCTATATGTTTTTTTTCATTACTATCCCCATTCTCCCTTTATACTTTTTGATTCCTAGTGGCTTTTTTTCTTCCTCAACCTCCACCTTGTAATTTAGAGTTTTATATTTCTATTTGTGTCTTTTGGGGTTATTTTTTGTGATCAGGAGCGCTAATGAATTTAAAGCAACACAATAGTGTATACTATACCTATCCGTAGTTATTTATAGGGCCCCCTTATGTGCAGTATAATATAAAATAAAAACATGTTACTTATCTTTCTCTGGTGTCATGACTGCCTCAGTGTTGCCGCCCGCTCCTCCCGATGAGTTGTCGTCATCCGGAAGGCATACCTCCTGGATGATGGTCCAGTCCAATGACCCTCATATCGGAACATTGGGGACTGTATGATTTAATGTAATGATTCTCTATGACAAGCATGTCATCATGGTTTGTCTGGGTATGAGATGCAGGAACTTACATTCCTAGCTCTCCTAGACAAAGGGCTTGGCGGCTTGACTTATAGCCGCACTTCAAAGCCTTCAAATTACTTATGTACTACATTTTGGAGGAGTAGTCAAGTGGGGAACAACATTAGCACTATAGCAACTTCAATTAGATTAAGTTGTTATAGTAATTACAGAGCTTGTGAGGAAGGCTGAACTTGATGGACGCAAGTCTCTTTTCAGCTATGTAACTATGTAACTATGTAACTTTAACGCTTTAACGCTTAGTAAGCATATTTTCTCAGTTGTCCCAGGTTAGGCAGTTCCCAAGCTCTAAGTTAATTTCACTACTTTCTCACCTTTGGATCTTTGTTGCTTTGATGTATGCCAGCACTCTGTGTCTTTTTGACCACAATACTTTAAATCACTTTGTCTGTAAATCATTTGTCTACCTGTCCTCTGTTGCATTAGAGCATAATTCAATATGCATTTGAATATATGTGGCTATCTGTACATTTTAACAAAACAATAAATATGTACCCATGTCAATAAAGATTATGCATCTCTATATTTGTGGTGTTATGAATAATTGTATGGATGATTATGATAACAGAGTCATTGGCGCCCACTACCTATACATCAGAGCTTGGAGGAGATTTGGAAAACAATGGGCTCATTTAATGTGGCCATCAACTTGTCAAATTACCGTCAAATTTCAAAGTGATTATGACTCTATTTTAACACCAGGTTCCATTCACTTGCAGAGATTCTGTCATTCTTATTAGTGCTTACTGGTTTGTAACTTGGACGTAAGTTTGGAAATAGTGCTCTTTTCCATCTTTTAATGTCACAACAGTTTATTGCATATTTATTCCCATCACATGGAAATGCTGCATAAATGTATAAGGTTTTCCTGACAACATAAGAAATAGGATGTCAACCATATCCCTATGTATGAGATTATGTATATAAAATGACTATAGCCAGACCACTGCCACCATTCATCAACGTTTTCATCTTAGCTTCTACGAGCTCGACATCAACTATGCCACACCATGGATTCAGGTATGTATCTACCTCAATGTAGCATGATCAGATATAAAATATGTAAGTAAATATCAAGCTGTTTTGGAGAGTAACTTTTAGAATAGACATGAACAGCTAAACAGTGCCCTCTAGCTGATGCTACACTCTGTTTTTCAAAATTCACCAGTAGATTTTTTTTTTATGTGCTGTAAAATTATCAGTGAAGGATGGTCATGGTGGGACATCCCTAAATTACAAGGTTTGGTTATTCTAGGGCCATATTTATAATCTGCCATTGACTGGAGCTTCCATACTTTGACCAAGTATCTCCACCACATCTGCTTTCTAGTTGCTGTTAGGTACTCTGGAGCGCTGAGGACCTCTTCCACTAAACCAGGCTGCCTGTTACCTATTTATAGGTAACAATGTTGACTCTCCATGCAGAGGGTCGTTCATACAATAGAATGTTCTGCACATTTGTCACTTCCAGGCACCACTCTGTCTGGGGACTTAATCACATTATCCCCAGCTAAGTCAACCATCTACCTGCTTTGCCCTCACAGTCCTAAAGGCACAACATACAAAATGTCCACCAGAACTCCCTTTCCCTGGATCATACTCCCACAATATATATCCCTGGAGAGCTTGTCACAAATATTTGTGTCCAAATAGCGCCCTATCAGAGACCAAGATGTGAAAGCATTCTCCGATCTAGTAACAAGTTCACACCCGGTGAGCAGGGCTTAGTCCTGGTCTCCAAAATGTGGTTATCAGGCCTCTGGGGATGAAAGCACTCTCAAGCCCCAGGTATCTCCATCCTCACCTCCCTGACCTCGCCACTTAAAAACAGTCTATTTGGAGTTAATGGTACTGAGCGATAACCGCTTAAAGGTTGACCGGACTTTGGCAAAGTTCCGGTATGAGGAACATTCCAGGGTTTTTCAATGTATCTCCTGGTATCTCCTGGTGTAAGACGAGTCTAGGGGATCACAGATTTCCTCAAGTCCGGCTGGGAAGCACAATAAGCATCCAGGGCCCACCACAGTGACTATAGACCCCTTTAGTAGCTCTTGGGAGCAGGCTCATAGTCAGTGTGAGTTATTTTTTCAACTTTGGTCATCACAATATGGCTTAAACCATGGGTCGTCAACCTGGTCCCTACCGCCCACTAGTGGGCGTTTTAGGATTCCAGGTGGGCGGTAGGGATTTCTGAGGCTAAATCCTCTTTTTAAGAGGATTTCTCCTTTTGGGCGGGCGCGAGCGGCTCTGCATGCGCAAGTCTTCAGTGACCGGCAGGAGGAAGCGCTCCCTCCTGCCAGGCCACCTTCTGGACCCCCCGGCATGGCAGCGTTCTAATCAGTCGCGGCGAGGGAGCTCTAACCTCTCTGCTCTGCTCCCTCGCGCGATGTTTGCTGATGCCGCGGGAGCCGGAATATGATGTCATATTCCGGCTCCCGGCATCCGTAGACAGTCCGCGAGGGAGCAGAGCAGAGAGGTTAGAGCTCCCTCGCTGCGTCTGATTAGCCGCCCGCCTAAGTGAAGCCCCACTGGACCCCAGGGACAGATCCACACCAGCTCTCCAGGTAGGGAGGCTGGGTGGATATTTAATATTAATAATTTGTGTGTACATGTGTTTGTCTCTAAGTGTATGTGTGTGTGTCTCTAAGTGTATGTGTGTGTGTCTGTAAGTGTATGTGTGTGTGTCTGTAAGTGTATGTGTGTGTGTCTGTAAGTGTATGTGTGTGTCTGTGTCTGTAAGTGTATGTGTGTGTCTGTGTCTGTAAGTGTATGTGTCTGTCTGTAAGTGTATGTGTCTGTCTGTAAGTGTATGTGTCTGTCTGTAAGTGTATGTGTGTGTGTCAGTAAGTGTGTGTGTGTCTGTGGGTCTGTCTGTGCATGTGTGAGTGTCTGTAAGTGCATGTGTGAGTATGTGTATATTTGTGTGTATGTGTTTCAATGTGAGTGTGTGTGTGTGTGTGTGTATGTGTTTGCCTGTGAGCAGAGTACTTGTAGAATAGAAGAAAGAAGGTGCAGAGTACTTGTAGAATAGGAGAAAGAAGGAGTAGAGTACTTCTAGTATAGGGGAAAGAAGGAGTAGAGTACTTCTAGTATAGGGGAAAGAAGGAGTAGAGTACTTCTAGTATAGAGGAAAGAAGGAGTAGAGTACTTGTAAAAAAGGAGAAGGAAAGAAAAGGAAAAGGAGAGAATTGTTGTTGACTAATAATAGTAAGTGGGCTACCTAGCTCAGCCTTCCTACTGGGCATTGCTATAAGGAAGGTTAAAAAATAGAAAAAAGGGGAAAAAGGTGGGAAGGGGAATTGAGGAGGGAGAGGAGGGGAGCTGACACACAGATGAGAAATCATTTTATGAGCAAACAAAGAAGTCTTCCGATTATCACTGAAAGAGGAGACCTTCGTTTGTTCCTTATGAAAATCGAACCAGATATCAAATATTTAGTCTCGCAGCATCAACCTCAAGGATCTCATTAATCACTAGTAAAGGTAAGTTCAATTTACTTTATTGCTTCCTCATTAAACTTTATAAAGTTAAAAACATTATAAACATGCATAAAGTAGAAATAAAAAGATAAATGTACGTTCATTTATGTATTTTTTAAAACACCCTCCTTTCTAAAAAATATTCCGCGCTTGCGCGAAAACTGGTGGGCGGTAAGGAAATTTTTCCATCAAGAAAGATGCATTAGTGGGCGGTAAGTGGAAAAAGGTTGACTACCACTGGCTTAAACAGTCAGCATATTACTGACTAGCTACAAGCTCTACAGATTTACAGGAAAGACAGAAAGTAAACAGTAATTTACTAATTCTAGCAAACATTTCCTCTAGTTGTTTTTTTTCTAGCAACTTTAGCAGGGTTATTCATTAGAGTGAGAATTTAAAGGGAATTCAATGTGAATTTCAACAGAGTAGTGCAACCGAAGAGGTCCGTTGAACTGAAATCATAGGTGGCTTAGAGAATTTTTTCAGATCATCTATTTTGACCTTAAATTTTAAATACACGTTGAATTCCCACTTTAGTAAATAACAATGGCAGCTTACATTTTAAGTTGACGGGATGCTAGACCTGACCCTTAGGATTTGACACTGCCTCACCAGTTACTAATGAAATGGATTATACCTACATGGCACTATTAATTTCAACATATGTAGATAGTCCAGATATTTGAAAGGCAATACAATCACATAGCCCACATTCTTATCCATGAATTAAATAAATTAATAGGGAAAGTGATTTAGAGGTTTACCTCTGTTGTAATAGATATAATTCAGAGTTACACCACACAATGACACCAAAGGGTTACTTTTTAGTTTCTTAACAGTAACCGTGTACAATATATTTAAACTGTATAGTATCAATATACATTAAACTACATATATTTAAAGGGACACTATAGTCACCAGAACTACTACCGCATAATGTAGTTGTTCTGGTAAGTATAATCAGTCCCTGCTGGCATTTTTATGCAAACACTGCCTTTTCAGAGACAGTGTTTACATTGCCCTTTAGGGACACCTACAGGTTTCCACTCCTCAGATTGCCACTGGAGGTGCTTCCTTGGGCAGTGCTGCACAGTAGATTCAATGCATCTCTACGAGGAGGTGCTGAGTTGCCAAAACAGTGTTTGGCCCGCCCCCATCCTGCCTCCTTGATGGTTTTAGCCAGTCCAATGCTTTCTCTATGGTAAAGCATTGGATTGGCTAAAAATCAAAAATTCTGATGTCACCAATGAGGTGGATCATGGGTGTGGCCAGCATTGCTGGACCCATTCGGCACTGGAAATAAGGTAAATTCTAACATTTTCTAAGGGGGCTAAATGGGGGCATGCTATAGGGTCAGGAATACAAGTTTGTGTTCCTGACTCTATAGTGTTCCTTTAAAACAGTATATACATGAACCATGTTAGATTACAATAAGTTAAGCACAGTGTTTTTTCTATTAATAGTTTATTTATTTTGCTTCCCTTGAAGAGCCACCTGAATGGCAAAATGCAAAGATCCAGTGGATCTTCATATAACAGCAGATCAAACAAGTGTGAGCGCTAAACAGCAGAGCTCTAAGTAGCTCAAAAAAGTGTGAGTTAGTCCTCTTAAACATCTATTTAATCTATACACCTATTATGACATATTGCATTATTATTATTTTATTTGTGTTTTCTCTTGAGGATCTTTGAATATTGAATGATTGTATATACAATTTAAAAAAACAAAAGTACCTCTATGTGTATTTGTATACCACATTATGAGGGTATCTTACATCACGTTATTAATTTTCACAATTAGGCGGTGTTTATCATCTGTTGTTGTGTCACATACTGTATCTTTGCACAAGGTCCTGGAAATCCTTGTCCATTTACCGCTGCCACCTATTGTACGCTATAGAGAGTGCCTATACTATTTTTGTTTTATATTAACATCTACATTATTGCAAAGTACCTCAGAAACAGCGTCTTGTATCACTCACTACTTGTTACTTAGTATGGTTTTACCTTCCCTGGATCTATGAGAACCCGGTCAGCTACTTTTCCTTCAAGGAATGTGCAGGATATGTTTATACACTGGACTTATTTACTGGGATAATTTATATTTTTGTATATATTGTTTTGTTGTTTTTCTTTATATTTCTGGTAATTTGTTTACATACAAGTACTTAATTTTTTAAAGAATATTATTAAATGTTAAGTTTTAATCCACTACCATTAAGTCTAAGCAATTTTTGTTGTTTTTTGTGTGAAATTCAGCAGCTGACAAGATAGGTTGAGCAGCATAAGGTCAGATAACGGTAAAATCTAACCCAGGACTGCACTAGATAATGTGAAAGAATATACCTTGATTTTAAGGTTCAGGCTTATAGGTGTCATATTAAATAGCCTATATTAAAATTGGCTAACTTGGACTCATGAAATGCTTAATGCTCAAAACGACACTTAAGACGATATATGTCTAGTTCCGAGAACAAATAGCCCCCACCTGAGCTGTCTCTTCTAAATCAGTCTGTTTCATCTCTTTCCTGGAATTTATCTGTTATATGTACATGACGTTCATCCCTATGTCTTATCTGTACTCCTCTCCGGTTATTTCCCTCCCTTCCTACTACTGTTCTATGAGTATTTGCACGTAAGCACTTACTTTTAATGTATAAAAGCACAAACTGTTTAAATAAATGTCAGAGGCTTATTTTGATATCCAACACGCATGTCTGGTGTCTGATTCACGCTTCTCCAAGTGCACTCGATACAATTTGGGTTCCCCCGAATATAACAAAGATCGATATTGGATCTTTGACAATAACATGAGGTCAAACTACATTTAGTTATAAATAACAAGGTCTAAGATCATTATTTAATGTTGAGAAGGGTCTGTGTTTATAATCCTACATGTCAGTGTCTTGGAAATATGCAAATTTTCATTAATGGTGAAGTTTAGAACATGAATTGAAAATGAGTTGAATAAAATGTGCTTTATTAGAAATGCAAGACAAATCCTCCTTCATCCCCCCCCATACATTACAAACAAATCAAAAGAGAGTCAGTAACCAGACTTAAAGGACACCCCACTGCCCAAATGGCCAAACAAGTATAAATCACTGTTTAGTAGATATACCACCAATGAATATGTGATGGTCGTTACCATCACCAGGAGCTTAAAATGGACAATTCAACTAGGTCTCTGGATGACTCCTATGTTTAAGTCACTTTACTCCCAACTGGGAAGGAGAGCTGCAGAAGAATAGGCAACGGGGACTATTCCTGCCTGGAAGGAGAGAGCTCCAGAGAGACCCCAGTGAAGCTTCAGTGATAGGTGCTGAAGCGTTCCAGGTTCCAGGATCCCGGCAAGCGGCTACAAAGCAGACTGGGCGGAGGTACTTGTTCAGAGCACTAGAGTTCTGCTACAGAATACATGCATGATTTTCTGAATTGGTGCACTTATGCTCATGCTGGCCCGTGCATGCACTCACGTATGATCTGAGGTCAGTGTGGGAGGAGGCAGGCACGCTCAAGTAATGTGCACCTGCCACTTCCATTAGCTCACGGTATGGAAGGAGGCAGAAAACCTTCCAATCTGTTTGATTGACAGTCAGTGGGGCGTTCCATAGTTTATTCATAAAAGTGATGATTTCTCATGGAAATCAGTACTTTCATAAACTGGGGTTAAAATAGGATACTCCTAATTTATTAAGTACTTTTGGTTTGTGGAGTGGTCCTTTAAATGAAAAACAAACAATTTATATAATTAAATCTTATGAAATGTCAACATTTTAGTCCAGTACACCTGGCCATTTCACAAGACAAATATATATATATATATATATATATATATATATATATATATATATATATATATGTATATATATATATATATATATATAAAACAGAAAATATCTACAGTAGAAACAAAATTAATCTCATAGGGTAATAACGTTAATATACATGATAAAATCAAATTCCTTAAGATGCAGTTACAAACATACGTTTGATTGTAGGCATATCAAACCGTTTAAAGATGATTGAGGATGTTCAGCACAATAAATGGGCATGCAGGACAGAAAATAAAACAATAATAGCAAATCGTTATGTTATAACTTTGCGCTTAGCTTAGATAGCACTTACAGGATCAACATGGTATTAGGCATACCAGATCCAAAAGGGTTTAGGCATCATCAGAAGTCCACCGGTTACCTCCGTTATTATATAGATGACACCTCTTTGATCATATAACACATTTATTTAACATATAACAAAACAAAAGTAGTAAATAACTCCCTTTTAAATCTCAATGCTATATGTATATATATATATATATATAGTTTCTAAGGAAAACATATGACTCCCAGCAGTTTCACACTTTCTTGCAGATAAATTTTTGCATTGTGTTACAATCTTGATCATTCCAAGGTCCTGCCATGGTCTCAGCACAGTGCTCGTTGTTTTTTTCATTATTAGGTTCATCCGTGTCCCAGTTGCTGCATTAAAAAAACCAAACACACTATTAAAGTTGAAATAATCTAATTGAAAGCTGAAATTAATAATTTACATTCTTTAATCAAAACATTTTAATATTTGATACATTTTTGCTTCTTGTATCTATCTATGCAGTACTCATTTTATGGTTGATACTGCTGGGTATAATCTCTGCAGCCATGAGGTTTGGAAAGGTACTGAATTCAAAATGGGTACCACCTTGGCTATTTCACAACATATACAGTTGCAAGAAAAAGTATGTGAACCCTTTGGAATGATATGGATTTCTGCACAAATTGGTCATAAAATGTGATCTGATCATCATCTAAGTCACAACAATAGACAATCACAGTCTGCTTAAACGAATAACATACAAAGAATGAAATGTTGCCATGTTTTTATTGAACACACCATGTAAACATTCACAGTGCAGGTGGAAAAATTATATTTAATATCAAATATTTAGCTATGAAACATAATTTAATATGAAAAAAATGGGAGAAAATACGATTTTTAAAATTTTTTTAGTTCTAAATGACATTTTAAAGGTCAGTGTCATAATACTGATTGCTTTTACTGCAATAAAATACACATATTTGTATTTAGTAAAGTCTCACGTGTAAGACAGTACCCCCTATGTACAGGTTTTTTATGGCGTTTTGGGAAGTTAGAGGGTCAAATATAGCACGTTACATTTGAAATTGAAATTCGCCAGATTGGTTACGTTGCCTTTGAGACTGTATAGTAGCCCGGGAATGAAATTTACACCCATAATGGCACACCATTTGCAATAGTAGACAACCCAAGGTATTGCAAATGGGGTATGTCCAGTCTTTTTTAGTAGCCATTTGGTCACAAACACTGGCCAAAGTTAGCGTTAGTATTTGTTTGTGTGTGAAAAATGCAAAAAACGCCAATTTTAGCCAGTGTTTGTGACTAAGTGGCTACTAAAAAAGACTGGACATACCCTGTTTGCAATACCTTGGGTTGTCTACTATTACAAATGGTATGCCATCATAGGGGTAATTTTCATTCTTGGGCTACCATAGGGTCTCAAAGGCAACGTAACCAATCTGGCGAATTTTAATGTGAAAAAATGAAACGCAAGCCTTATATTTGACGCTGTAACTTTTGAAAACACCATAAAACCTGTACATGAGGGGTACTGTTGTACTCGGGAGACTTCGCTGAACACAAATACTTGTGTTTCAAAACAGTAAAAAGTATCACAGCAATAATATTGTCCGTGTAATGCTGTTTGTGCGTGAAAAATGCAAAAAACGTCACTTTTACTGGCGGTATCATCGTTGTAATACATTTTACTGTTTTGAAACACTAATATTTGTGTTCAGCGAAGTCTCCCGAGTAGAACAGTACCCCCCATGTACAGGTTTTATGGTGTCTTGGAAAATTATAGGGTTAAATATAGTGCTAGCAAATTAAATTCCCTTTACTTTTGGCATGGGTTGTCAGGCAGGTCCCGCTAATTGTAATTAATTAAGATACCTAATTATGTAAAAATATTACATAAATATATATGTAGAATTAATATATGTATATATATACGTATGTGTATATATATGTATATATCTATATAATTTTTAAAAAATATTTTTATTTATATATAGGTATATATAGTGATATATACGTATATATTTATGTATATAGATATATATATTATTTCGTTCTACGTGTATTTTGATATATATATATTAATTTCACAATACAGTTAGAACGAAATAACACACATCTAAATTAATTTTTTTTAATTTTATTTTTTAACGTATTTACATTTTTATTTTTTTTATATTACATATAAATATATATATAACAATAATTATATATATATTTAATCAGTATCAGTCTACCTGTAATTTGATATTAATATATATATATATAATTATATATATATTAATAGTAAAATACACCTAGACAGTGTATATGTGTGTATGCATATGTGTATATATATACTTAGATCATATATATATCTAAGATGTAGATGATCTAAGTATATATTATTATTTTTTTTACACTTTTAACTCATTTTAATTTTATTTTCAGCCAGCAGGGGGACCACCTGTCATTACAGGCAGCCCCCCTGCTGGCAATACAGAAGCCAGCTATCCCCGGCCATGTGATTGTGGGGTCCTCGCAAGGACCCCACTCTCACACGGCCGGGGGGCTTCGTGGAGGACAGACGTGCCGCGGGGGGCTCCCTGGGAGTCCCCCCCACCGCGATCGCCGGCGTGGGACCGCCGGCGACCGGGTAAGTACCGAAAGACCGGAGGGCGTACTATTACGCCCGGCGGCGTTTAGAGCCGCCTATAATAGGGCGTAATAGTACGCCCTCCGGTCTAAAGGGGTTAATGCTAGGTGTAGTTTAACAGTGACAGACAGAATAACAACAATAAAAATTAAAATAAAAAAGCGCATGTCAAAAAAGTTATAAATTGATTTGCATATCAATGAGTGAAATAAATATTTAAACCCTTTGTTTCTATAAGCACCACATGCTATATTTGGCCCTCTGCTGCATTGTAACCAAAGCTACTACAGTGACTACCATCACTCTGCAATTGCACTATCCTATTGTTAACATATAGGGCAAGGTATGCATGATTCATATTCTTGCCTCATTTATTCTACATATATTCTACCATATACAGTAGCCGTTCTCCCTAGTTACTTACTCATTGACTACCATTTCTCTGACGCCCGAGTCTACTGACTTTTGTTATTTACATCAATTTATTTACATCGATTCATTTATTTATCTGTATATATATTTTTTGTTTTATTGTTTTGGTTTTCACTTTTTTTTTTAAGAATGTCTAGCACTTTGGGTTATTGTCATTAGACATTTTTATAGTCTTTAATAAAGAATTTGTTATTTTGACCGTTTGGTCTTTTAGATTTCAGCTCTCGTGACTCTACTTTATCTGGATTCATCCTTAACAATATCCGCTATATATCCCAGTATTCATTTCAGGTACACTACTTTAAGCTCTCTAGTCCCATTCAAACTGGGTTTGCGCCATTCTCCTGATGGGTCTGCACGAGTGAGCGCTGTGGGGCGCAGACGGACAATCAGAGGAGGAGCGCCTATTCAAACAGGGTTTTGTACCCTTTCTTCTGATTGGTGTACATGGCATTCGCGCCCTTTCTCCTGATTGGGCGGCGAAACCCCTCTCCTCCCTGAGTGCTGATTGTCATGATGTGTGGTTCGTGTCCTTTTTCCAGATTGACTGTTGCTTGGTTCAGGCGCAAAGTTTGAATTCCCCGGATTAAACCAAGCAATGCTGTGGAACTAATGCAGGGATGTACAAAGCCCCGAGCCACAGACTTTATCTGATGATTTCTCAGACTCTATACATCTGATAGCCCCACTTTTTGCAGGGATCCTAGTTGGGACCCGGGGCTATCCAGCAATATATGTGTTACATGGGTGACCCCTTCCCTTCCTGTGGCGCAGAGGCCCTAAGTCCCCCCCTGTGTGTAATATGTTTTAATGTATGTTACTGTGTCCTGTTGGTATCTCCAAGAGCGAGAGATGGTTATCTGTAACCCATCCCCCTTCTCCTGTCTGGGTCAAAGGATTATGTTCAACTTAACAGAGACCACCTGCGGGCATCTGTGTTTAAAAAGCTGTGTGTACCAATAATGGATTTTCAGTGTCTTTACCTCCAGGACTATGTGGCGTCCGTTACTGAGGGGGAAATGGATGCCTGCTTGTTGTAAGGGTTCCTGAATGGCTGAAGGAAGAGAATTAGCGGACGTGACTGGTCGGGCTACCCTCGTTCCGCTACACCCTCCACAGATTTTCTATTGGATTAAGGTCTGGAGACTGGCTAGGCCCCTCCAGAACCTTTGTGTGCTTCTTCTAGAGCCACTCCATTGTTGCCTTCGCTGTGTGTTTTCGGTCATTGTCATGCAGGAATACCCATCCACAACCCATTTTCAATGCCCTGGCTGAGGAAAGGAGGTTCTCACCGAAGATTTGATGGTACATGGCCCTGTCCATCAGGGCCGGACTGGGAAAAAAATTCGGCACGGGCATTTTTTATTCACAGCGGCCCAGTGAAAAGGGGGCAGGGCCAGATAGAGTGTGTTTTGTCATCCCCAATGACAAGCATGCCCCATCTCAAAGTGGGCATGTTGGTTCAATGCTCTTCCAGGGCATGAGAAAAGGGCCCTGTATTTGTTCTGCACAGCGCAAGCAAATTTAATAACATGCTTGTGTTGTGTTTGCTTGAAACTTGTCTTAGGGGTTTCCATAATTGGGATACTCACTGTATCCCATTTATGGAGACACTATGTGTGTCTAGTGTGTTCATTGGGGATCCAGAATGAGTATATCAGAAATGTAGTGTGTGTGTAGGTAGTGCAGCGTCTGTGTGTAGGGGATCTAGTGTGTGTTTGAAGGTATACGAGATCTAGTGAGTGTGTGTATATAGAGGATTCAGTGTGTATATAGAGATCTAGTGTGTGCATATCTGTAGATGATCCAGAGTTGGGTAAGGAATCTAGTGTTAGTCTGGAATTTATTGTGTCTAGGGGTGCAGTATGTGTGTGAGGGGTTCTGTAGTATATATACATATATGTTTGGAAGTATTGTGTGTGTGTGTGAGTGGTGCAGCGTGTTTGCGGGCTGCTGTGTGTATGTGTGAGGTGTGCAGTGTGTGTGTGAAGGGTGTAGTGTGTATGTGTGAGGGGAGTAGTGTGCATTTGTGAGGAGTATAGTGTGTATAAGGGTGCTGTGTGTGGAGGGGTGTAGTATGTGTGTGTGAGGTGTGCTGTGTGAGGTGTGCTGCGTGTGTGTGGGTGCTGTGTGTGTTAGGATGCTGTGTGAGGGTGATGTGCATTAGGGTGCTGTGTGAGGGCGATGTGTGTGTTTCTGTGTTAGGGTGCTGTGTGTGTGAGGGGGATGTGTGTGAGCTAGGGTGCTGTGTGAGGGTGATGTGTGTGTGTTAGGATGCTGTGTGAGGGTGATGTGTTTGTGTGTGTGTGTTAGGGTTCTGTGTGGGTGTGTGTTAGGGTGCTGTGTTAGGGTGCTGTGTATGTGTGTGTTAGGGTGCTGTTTGTGTTTGTAAGGATTGTGTTTTGGGGGAGGCAGGTAAATGGCAAGATTGATGTAATTATTAAAAATTGTTTTATAATAATAAAAAAAAAAAAAACAGACATTATATCCCCTTTTTTACATGTAGCCTGGAAGGGGGGTCGTACTGCTGGCATCCATGGCAATGGTCCGGATCTCGGCGGAGGTGCAAGTTAGAGCTCCTCCGGGTTCCTCTCCTGGCTTTCTCCCTCCCTCTTTCCCCCGTTGGCTGCTGCCTTTGACTGCATGTGGGCCGGTGAGGGAGATCTTCGATCTCCCCACCATCCCACCATGAAATGCAGCAGGGCCGGTGCTCGGATAGTGCCGGCTCTGCATGGAATGGCCGGAGAGATCAGAGGATCTCCCTGTCCGGTCTTGGCCTGTGGCCATCACAGTCCACCGGGCATTTGCTCGGTTTGCCCGATGGCCAGTCCGGGCCTGCTGTCCATTGTCCCTTTGATGCTGTGAAGTTGTCCTGTCCCCTTAGCAGAAAACACGTTCAACATCAAATGCTTTTTTCCCTCCTTGTATTTTGCAACACCCACAGACCTTGTTCAATAATACTGATAATCTTGAGCCCATTGAGCCATTCAGTTGGAAGTGTCCCTGCACTTACCTTCAGATATCCCCTTGTGCATATAAATGCCATTTGTTCTTACCCCAAAGATGAAGTGACTAAGACTCAGATCTGGGGCCTACTGCTCACCATCCCTCCTTGGACTTTAGAGTCTACTCGGCAGCTCTTTCACAGGTGGAGCCTCTTATGAGGCATTTGATTCCTCCTCCTAGCAGCAAGTCATCCTACTGTCCGTACATGAGATCCAAAACACCTTCGTCCCCTTTGTTTAGAGATGGTTAGTGGAGGCCTGTTCAAGAACCTGACTAGAGTTGGAGACGAGATTGGCAATGCTCCATGTTTTGCTTGCTTTTTCATTATGTTTCTTACTTTCCTTTTCAGTAATTTGTATTACTTATGTGAAAAAATCGTGGTTAATAAGGGTTATGTTCCATGGGCAACATGTGGTGGATACTCTAATATTAATAATATAGGGCGGAGGAGCTAGTGTCAAACACTGTGGCTACCACCCACAGGCGAGGGTTAGGGTCCCTAATGTTAATTACAAAGAGGGGGCATAGTGTCCCCACCAGCCTCCACCAATGGGTGATGTGTGGATCCCTAAATATTATAAAAAAGGGGGAGTGGACATGTCAATGTGTTTGTGTGGGATGCAATAAATCTAAAACCTGTTAAGAAAAATTACACTTACCATCAAAATACTTCTTACTTCTAATTAATTTGTTCTCCAGGCCAAAAAGAGGCCAGTGAGACTTCTAGCCAACAAATCAGAACACTCTTGGTCATATTGCAAAGTGTGCAAAATTACCCCACACTTTGTAGTAGATGTGATAGCATGGGAAAGCCTATATAAGGGGTTTTCCCGCTATCAGAGCTCATTCTGTAAACTCTCCTTTGATGATAATGGATTGTTTTTATTGAGGTGCGGCTTTTAATTTTTCTTTTTTTTGCGATCGTACCTTTTTTATATTAATTAGTAAAGTTGTTTATTAGGATTTTAATTTGGTCTGTCCAGGAGATGAAGAACAGAAGAATTAGAAGAAAGAAGACTTCTGATGGTAAGTATATTTTTTTTCTTTTTATCATTTTAACATTTTTTTTTATGTTTTAGATTTATTGGCCCACCCTCACTATTATTAGGGTAAAGGAAGTTCATTAAGCTATATACAAAGGTCACACTCACGAATAGGTCATCACTGTCCCATCCATCCACTTCCAGACATCAATATTGTTTCTATCCCTTCGAAGTCCAATCCAGTACCTCTCTTTGTTCTCATAAATTTTGCTTAAAATTTTCTGGGGAAATAAAAGACACATTTAATACGCTAACAGAAATACCAAAAACCTATTCATACACACCTCTTATCTGATAGTGTATAAATGAATAAACAAACAAATAAACATATTACTGTAATGGATCCCTTATACTCCAGCTGAGTATATCCGTGCAGAATCTCCCGAAATCCAAGTGTAGCAGAAGGTGAAGTGAATTATAGCTCCCAATCCCCCAAACATGAGCCAAGACTTCATGAAGGGGTAAAACTATCTGTTTAATGGTGGCCACAGCTTGGCCTTTTATGCAGGTCCTCCAGCAAGGGATACTACCACAGGGACCTTGTGGAGGACGGAAACACGAGTTACAGTAACCAATCATCATACAGTACAATATAAAACACTCCCACATAAACAGGGAAATCCCTCCTCTCTATCCTGGAGATAATTAGGTTAAGTGGCTTTAGTAAACTCAATTATCTCAAGGTAGAGAAAATATTTCCATTTTACAACTGTAACAAAATACATTAAAATCCATAACTTATATTACACCGAACAGAACCCTCACATTCGACATATCCCCAGATAGCTTGGATCTGAGCGCTCAATATATCCAAATAGCTCTCAGATCCCCTGAACACAGTCAAATCACCAGAAATCTGTCCAGAATTAGCTCCATGGATTTAGCTATCCGGGTCGGTCCAGTTCGTGTGTTATGAATGTACCGAACGACGTGACGAAAGGGATGGAAGTTTGGCAGTCCCAGCGGTGTTCATGGGAAACAGTGGCCGAAAACAGTTCCATGCGGTCGACGACCAAACACTGCTGGGTGTTCATCAATTTAAGATGGCCGACGCCATGTGTTCGTTCATACGAACGGCAACCACCCAGATGTTCGTCAATTAGTTGTGGTTAGCCACAGCTTCTGGGAGGTTAATAAGCTGCACACTCCCATTGCGTGTGGTCTGTCTGTTCATAGTTTGTTCGGTACAATAAAAGGGAATAAAATAGTGCTAAATGCACGAACAGCATACGGAAGAAAGGGCCCTGGTAGCCACAAAACAGGGGTTTTATCACAATTACCCTTTAAGAAAGTGTACACTGGAGTAAAAAAATGGACTCCTCAAAAAAACTCCACAATAACGTATATCTACAGGGACAAAATATCTAAGATACACATAAAGTAATAATGTATAACATTTTCAAGATTTTAATATTCACTGATTGAACTCACAGGAAAATCTTCTGTGATAGGCACTTCAAATATTACAGATGGCACTTTATATATAAGTGCTTCCACTTCAGAGTATCTTCATCCAGTTTTTTAAACACATGTAGAGAAAAAAACAAGAAAACATGGTGCAATATTTCAAAACATACACACACTGCTCTAATGCGAACTTCCTTTTTTATAAGTACTACATCTGAAGATATGGACTTGCAGCTTTCAGGACTTTACTGATGAGTTTACCAAAATGTCCTCCTTGTAAGTTTGAAATCATTAAAGAGATTATATAGGGCTAGGAAAACAAATCCGTTTACCTGGAACTATAGGTTTTTAAGGTGCCACCCTCCCTTGCTCCTCCCTCTCCTGCAGCGATGTCCCTCGGCGCTGGGTTAGACTCCACCCACGCTCCTCACCCACCGACAGCAGCCAACGAGGTAGACCTAATGTTCATGGCCGGCAATGACTGCGCTCGCATTAGGATTTCCCTATAGGAAAGCATTAATAAATGCTTCCCTATGTGGAAAAATCTGACGCTGGAGGACGCATGAGGACGTCCAGCATCAGACATTGGACCAAAGGTCCGTTTCGAATCAGGAAGCCTTCTAGTGGCTGTCTGGTAGACAGCCAATGTGTGCAGACTTAAAGCTGCAATGTAAACATTGCAGTTCTATGGAACTGCAATGTTTAACATTGCAGCACTAGGTGCAAAAAGGACCCAGCACCAGACCACTTCAATGAGCTGAAGTGGTCTGGGTGCCTACAGTTTCCATTTAAAGCAGTGTATGTATGTTTTGAAATATTGCATTGTTTTGTTGTTTTTTCTCCACCTGTGTACAAACTGGAAGAATATTTTATTGAAGGATAGTGATCATATGAAACCATTTATTATCACATGTATGTTTGGCTCCTTTTTAAATCATAATAAAATCACCCAACTGGCCCTGATCAAAAGTTTACATACTCTTGAATGTTTTGCCTTGTTACAGACACACAAGGTGACAACTGCAGGTTAAAATGGCAATTAAAGGTTAATTTCCTGCACCTGTGGCTTTTTAAATTGCAATTAGTGTGTATAAATAGTCAATGAGTTTGTTAGCTCTCATATGGATGCACTGAGCAGGCTAGATATTGAGCCAAGCAGAGCAGAAAAGAACTGTCAAAAGACCTTCGTAACAAGGTAATGGAACTTTGTAAAGATGAAAAGGGATATAAAAAGATATCCAAAGCCTTGAAAATGCCAGTCAGTGCTGTTCAATCACTTATTAGGAAGTGGAAAATTCGGAGGTCTCTTGATACCAAGTCAAGGTCAGGTAGACAAAGAAATATTTCACCTACAACTGCCAGAAGAATTGGTTGAATCCTGGATCTAACAAGCGCTAGGAACCTCACCATCGCATGTATCAGGAGAAATACCACCTGCGCTGGAAAAAGACGATGTGGTTGTTTCAAGGAGCTATTGGTTCTCTATCTGAGACAATGGCCAATGTAAGTCCATAAATCCTGCATGACCTTGAGTCTACTATCTCTCATTTAGCTTCATATAATTTTCTTCTCTACAAGTACTTTTCGACCATATTGCCACTTGCATGCATCATTTTTCCTTGTTTTTTTTTTTTATCAAACCATATTTCCTTTGACCATGTATCTTGTGATTAATGAGAGAAAGTGCCGTTATTAAAATTTGGTCTCCTTTGAAACACATGAAGTGTTATTTACTAAAATAAGAATTGTTGGGAATTAAAAGTGAATTCAATGTAAATTTCACATTTAAGGCCAAAATAGCAAAATGAAAACAGAACCTATTGTTTTTTTTTCTAATTTAGCTATTTTAGAATAAATGTAGAAATTCTCTTTGAATTCACTTTCAGTTCCTAGCAATTCTCACTTTTGTGAATAAGAAACGAAAAGGTGCTACTTTGTCAAAATAAATAATTTTGGAATTTTTCAAGAAATTAGATACTTGTTTAGCAACTGATAATGCTTGTAGTAAAAGCGACTTACCCTTTCATCACTGCTGGAAATGGTGGTAAGCTGAGAATTTAATGTTTGACACTCATCTCTTGCCTCATCCCATGTCTTCTTGCTTTTTGAGACATAATAGCAAGAATAGATTTCTCTATGCCAACCAAGAGGGCACATCCTTGCTGTGCGTGGGGGATGGAGTCGCAGAAGGAATGGGGTAAAAGGAAGATTTTGTTACAAACTTTAAATATAAGGCTGTCATAAGGTAATCCATAAATTCACAACCAAATTGCAGAATTTGTCCAGAATAGATAAATTGGATGAAAAAAACCCTCTACTTCTTTTATCCCTTGAAGGTTGTTTATTGACATTCTAACTATATACATATTTAATGTGTTTATGCAATCAAAGTTGTATTAATATGAATGAAATTGTCGCTAAATACAGACTCAATACTATATATGTAAGAAAAAATACATAAAATATACAGACATGTGCACAGGTAAAAATGTGGTTAATCCTCAGCTTTGTTACTTTAAGTCTGAGAATTTGTTTCGGCGAAATTTAGTCTCAGAATCAATTAAGGATGAACTGAAATTCATCTGATAATTTTTTGAAATTCAGTTGTTTGTTATTTCTTATAGGGTTTTGTTTGGTAGATAGCTCCCCCTAATTTGGTACCCTTATGTGGGATTGCCCTACTTATACCAAGTTAGGGTGCTATTTAGTAGATAGCTCCCCTAATTTAGTACCCTGATATGGGATTAACCTACTTAGGATACCCTGGGCACTTTTTAGTAGACATATCTAATTATGTATATATGTTTTATAACAGGCGAAAACAGTCCATAATTCTACTAAATAGATTACAATTCCAAGAGCCATAACCTAATGAGGCAGAAATGGGGTAAAGAAGGGGAAACAAAGCCCAAAATGCTCCAGAAGACCAGTGGATGTTGAAACTGAGGCATCTTAAAAGATCAAATTATATAGCATCCAAACATTTAATAGCTAAAAAGTGTAGATCAAGTGTTACACCTTATTGGTATGAAGTTAGAATCCAAGTTATATATCAGTTAAATATGGAGAGTGCTATTTGTTATAAAGTGAGAAAAAAAAATTCAAATTTGGATAAATAGAGAATCTATGGGATTGTAGTTAATTATGGATTTAGTGATTTTCCCTTTTTTTCCCTCTTATGCTTTCCCCTTTTGAGTTGTGAAGATATTTATAAATTAGGGTATATCCTCCTTTCCCTTGGTCCTACTGCTTTCGATGCAACAGTTTAGTGTTGTATGGTTGTTATATGTTTGTATGATTTTAAACATATTTAACATTATATTGCGATAGAATATATTTAAATTAAATGTTTTAATGTATGTCATATGTTATATGTTGTTTTTCTTTTTTCTTTCTGTGTGTACAATGAAAATAATAAAAAGTATAATAAAAGATTTTTTTAAAAATTGATTAGATAATGGCCTACAAAAGTAGACTATATTAACCGGCAATGTTCCAGCATAATCATATCACTAAGTGTTGTGTTATCTTTTAGGAATCACATGTCCATCTATGAGTAAGTGACATAAGTTTCACTCCACTGGGCTCATCAGGAAGGGCCAGGATTAAAGCCTGAGTTAAATCCCCTGGGTCTGCTCTTCATTAGTTCATTTTATTTTTATATATGTTTTCAGTCAACATAAATAATCAATTACTAAACTCCCATTTAATCTTTTTTCTGTTCAAATCGATTACATCTACAACAGTTAAAGGCTTATTAGGAGTCAATAAATATTGGTTCGAATAATAAAAATTTACGAAAAGTATTGAAAATCAATAATACTCTTATCCTGCAAAATATTGGATTCAGTGATTCAATGCCATTTATTGAGGCCATGATCTTTAATTTATTGACTTAATTTTTTTTTTTTTTTTTACTATTTGCCTGCTGGCTTTAGGTTTAACACTAGCTTTAGATTTGCCCCACTTTCAATGCCGCAAGTAGGGGTCATGTCCGCTAAACAGTGAGCAGTCAAATGACTAATCAGGGAAAAAAGATACTAGCGATTTCGTAATTAAAAAAAGGACAATAAATGTGCTTCCAAAGCATCATTAATAGAGTTCCCTTCTCTACTGAATGTATTTTATATATTAACCATTGCGTTTAATTATTTCTGTAAAATTTATTTCTGTAAAAATTTGATATATGTAAATACCTATATATTGGTAATATTTACTAATTAGTAAAAAAAAGTGTTACTCTTGTTTAAAGATTAGGGAGACCTCTAGTGGTCTTTTTTTTTTTTTTACAAGCTCTTGACAAAGGCGGATGTTCACGCCGAAACGCGCGTCGAGCATATTTTTGCCGATGCACTCTCGTTGTTTTTAACACCTAACTATACTGGGGTGGAATTGGTTGGCTGATAGTGGCTTGCTGTACCTTCTGCATTTTTAATATGGAACGCAATTAGGTTACTATTTGGGGAAGCTGCCTCGAAGCAGCAGGATGAGGCTTAGAGATCGGCTATACCTAGGCTGGGTACCTGGTGAGACGGGCCGGGATTAGTACCTGTCTCGGCAGCTAGAGCTTGAATACCTTTCTACAAATTTAGATCTCCTTAGCAGCAGATTTGAATTTTTTTTTAAAGTAATTATACATATCTAGACTCATTATCAAACTGCCTGGACAAGGTGTCAGCCTTGGTATTTTTAGAACTAGGTCTATAAGTAATGAGGAAGTTAAAACATGAAAGGAACAGTGACCATCTAGCCTGTCTGGAAGACAAACGTTTGGCATCCCCTATACATGCCAGGTTTTTGTGGTCGGTTATGATCAACAGGGGGTCCTTGGAACCCTCCAAAAGATGTTGCCACTCCGTGAGGGCAAGAATAATGGCCAACCATTCTCTATTGCCAATATGATTGTTGCACTCAGCGGGAGACATCTTTCTGGAGAAGTAGCCACAAGGATGAGGATGCAATGGTGTTCTCTACCCCTGTCTCAGACGCATCAACCTCCAATATAAAAGGTTTACTGATGTCGGGATGTTTTAGTATGTCTGCAGAGGCAAATCTTTGTTTAAGAGTCTCAAAAGCATTCACAGCCTCTTTGGACCATACCGTGCTACTAACCCCTTTGCAAGTCATAATAGTGATGGGGGCTATTACAGAAGAAAATCCCTTGAGGAATCTTCTGTAATAGTTGGCAAAACCAATAAACCTTTGAATGGCTTTTAAACCAGAGGGTAATGGCCAGTGTAGTACAGCCTCTAGGTTTTTAGGATCCATTTGAAATCCAGATGCAGAGATGTTGTAACCCAAAAAGTGGACTTCAGGCTGGTCAAATATGCACTTTTCTAATTTACAATAAAGTTTATTCTTCAACAATGTCTGCAGAACCTTTTTCACATGGGAGTGGTGAGTTTGAAGATCAGGGGAATACATCAAAATATCGTCCAAGTAAACCAAGACAAATGAGTAAATGAATTCACTGAGTATATTGTAGCGGAGCGGCAATATTAAATCCCACGATCTCTGCTGGTAAAGAAGGTAATCCACAGTCAGCGCTGAAAAGTAAGGCAATACTCCAAATCCCCCAGTAACCGGACGAGACACAGTTCTGGGAGTCAACTGAGGTTTTTATTCACAGCATCCAGTATTTATGCAAGTCCCCATGCAAGGGGTTTCCATACTGTCATATGTTATACAGTAGCGGACTACATGGGGGACTTAACATTCAGACCTTTTCTCCCATCAGGCACTGCTGCACGAGAGGGATACTCCCACCGGATAATACCGTGCAGCAGAACTGACAATTTACATTAAAATATATAACTTTTCGAATACTTGGCAGATTTAAACAAATGGACGTTCGGTAGATAGCTGGGGTCTGAGTGCATAGTTCGTGAGAATACCGCTCAGATCCCAGCTAAAACAACCGAACGCCGCACGAAATACACTTTGCCATTGAGTTTGACCCAAAGTACCGAACACTGATGGGAAAATAGCGAAAGACCGGAGCTCCCGAACGACCTGGAAGCCCAGCGCTGTTCGTGCCATCGAGTAGCCATTTTCAGTTCCACGCGCTCGACGACTAAACACCGCTGGGGAGACAAAGGATCCAAGATGGCCGACCACCGCGTGGTCGGTATCCGAACGACGGCCACCTAGGAAAGCCTCTAATTACCGATTGCAACATTGTTGCAATCGGTTAACGAGCGCCACACGTCCCTCTCTGTGTGGGCTATTAGGGGGTAGCTCATTCGGGTTCACGAACAGCCCGTAATGGTGCTGTTCGTGAAACGAAACACCTGAATGCTAGCAGCTTTCGGCAGCTAGCATACGAATTCAATACAGCATACAGTAACACACAGGGTCCAGCCAGGAAATACAAGAAGTTACAGGAATAATACAGGCAATCTTTTTATACACGTAGTTCAGATTATTACAAGTGGCTAGGTTTGCCACATATATAATTTATAAAGTCTTGGAATACGGCCGGGGCGTTGCATAACCCAAATGGCATAACCAGATATTCATAGTGTCCACTATGGGTATTAAATGCCATCTCCCACTCATGATTCTCTTTAATTCTAACCAAATTGTAAGCGCTCCTAAGGTCAAGCTTAGTAAATACTTTAGCCCCCTGTAGTCTATCGAACAATTCGGAAATGAGTGGGATAGGGTATGCATTTTTTACAGTGATTTTATTAAGTGCCCAGTAGTAAATGCAAGGGCGTAACTCACTACCCTTTTTTTCAACAAAAAAGAATCCTGCACCAGCTGGTGAGGATGACTTTCTTATGTGCCCTTTGCTCAAGGATTCTTTGATATATCCCTCCATTATTTTACTTTCCTGGGGAGATAAAGCATAAACTGCCCCTTAGGTGGCATAGCGCCTGGAAACAGGTTAATGGCACTGTCATATGCTCTGTGGGGAGGCAATACATCGGATTGAGCCTTGTTAAACACCTTCTCGATATTGTATGGGGAGTGGTAGTGGGAAGGTCAATAGTACCCAATCTCTTAAGTACTGGTTTTATACATCTCCCCATACACTCTTTACCCCATTCTAATATCTGAATCGTCATCTCCTTCCTATGGGAGGCCCCAATAGAGATCGTAATAGGGACAGTTTCATGGATTATAAGCGGTTGTGTGAATGGTCTACCATCAATAGCCTCTACAGCGGCGTAGGTCTCTCCCTGATCGGTATCTCATTACCCCTAACAAACTGGACATCAATAAAATTTCCAGCAGCACCTGAGTCCATTAGGGCACTGCAAGAAAACTTCTTGTTATCAAGGGAAATAGATATCTCAAGGAGGAATC